CTCTCACACACATAGGGACACCAAGTCAGGACTCAGCAGGAAGCCACAGAGGACTGAGGAAACGCTATCTTAAACGAAAATGGGGAAACACAGGAGCTAAAGCTAAACTGATAAAACCATGACAAGATATAGGAAAATCATAAAATGCTAAAAAAAAAAATGATTAAAGTAAAACACATGGTACCAGAAAACTGCAACTGAAGTACTTCCTACATGCTATATTAGTCTATATGTGCAGTTTACTGGGGTTCAGCAAAATATGAACACAGGTGTTTATTAGAATTGAGTCGTATACTGTGTTGTGTGAAACACACCCCACCAGCAACTAAGCCAGCTTCCTGCTTAACACCAACCGACACCAGATTTAACACTTGTCTATACACTCCTTCACACGCAAAATGTGGTCTGGCTAAATGTAAGCCAACAAGCTGTAAACCAATCATCTTATGAAGCTGTTATGTGGTATCAAACAATTACTTATGTACACATCCATGGGGATTGTGTTTCTGGCCAACTGGCGAAAGAGACACCCACATTTACTCTGTTTTTGGTCTCAGCTTCTGAGAGAAATATCTGTCTCTGCTGCTTAAAGCTGTTCACCAGCTAGTCGCTAACTGCTACTGTGTCTCAATTTGTATTCTTTTGTACTTTTGAGTGTGACAGGGTCAATTATACAGCAGTCAAATGTACATTTGTAATATTAAGTGTTATAATTACACACAAGTTGTTTCAGTTGTTATTATCTGACACGCTCAGGTCTCCATAGTCAATATGTGGAACATCTGATACTCAGTTTCTGTCCCCCTACGTTCACCTTTGGGGGTACCCCATCTATAAAGGGGTGTCTCCCACCTTACCTCTCCCCTTTTGCTGTTGTAGTCCATGGGAGAGGTAAGCAACATTGCTCTGGTAGTAATTTCCGTGTTTTAGCGCTGTTAAGACATGTTTATAAGTTCATTTTATGGTAACATAATCCTGTGTCACTTAATTTGTGTAGGGGCTGGAGCTTATATGGTTGTATTTGACGGAGGATTTTGTTTTCAGCTCTTCCTGTCATAGCTGTCAGGAGTAAATGGAGATCTCCTCCAAAGATATCCACGGTCTGGGCCTCTTTATATCAACACAAAGCAGACGACACTAGAGTCCAGTGGCTACATGAGTACATACACACCGACAAGTATGGCAAAATGCAGTGCGCTATTAGTACCCAGAGGGTGTGCTTATAATGGTTAAAGAGTTGAGTTAGGAACACTTGGCACTGATCTCATCTCTGTGTGTCAGAGAACAGGCTAAGCGATATGTTGCTTGTTTGATCGCATTGGTTCCATTTTGGTGGAGCTTTGCACACTTTCAACCTATTTTCAGAGCACCAACCAGCTGTTGCTTAGGGTCCCTCAGGGCTCAGAAGGCTCCCTGAATGTTGTTGTCACTCCTAGTATATCTGGACACTTTTTTGCACCGCATCTGTCAGAGTTCACTCGCTTGCTATATGTTATAATATCACGCACCTTACGTGCAGGTAATAAGAGTTATGATTAAGTTTGGCCGAGTGATATACATATATATATAAGATGTGAGATGCCACTATTATTGTTGATGTTGTGTTGTCCTACATTATTTTTCAGACATTAAAGTGGATTAAGTTACACAGAGAATCTGTCCCTGTGGTCTTACTTCACCCACAGCCCTGTGATAGTTAATTCAGTAACTAGTAACTTTATAGGTAAGACAGGGGAGAGAAACCTGCCTTACAATAATAAAGCTCTGTAGAGCTGAGAGGAGCTGCAGAATTGGTTCATAATAATCATAATGTGGGTTCATCAAAAAGAGCGATCCCTTTCACATTACAGGAAGTCATCATTTCATCAGTTGTTCATTTAAAATGTTTAATTAGTGCAGCTTTAAGTTGATCTTTCACATAGAAAAGTAATTTGGACTCGGTTCTTGATGTTGAAAGAAGTACTCAAACTTATTTTGAATGGTGGACCAAGACAAGGGTGTGCTGATCATGTGATTTCAGAGTGAATGAGCACTCTCTTGTCTGAAACCAAAGCTTAATGCATAAAGAGTCTGCAGAAACCCAAATTTTGAATTCATGAAATCATGAAGTGAGAGTGTTAAAGTGTAATTTTCAAACTCACAGTTGCTCCTTCAGAGGCACCAGAACAGAATCAGCTCATCAGTAACCGGATGTTGCTGTTACTCTTTTAAGCCAACAGGTGGTGCTAGAGTCAAATATCTGAGACCTGCTGGTGTCCTGCAGTGAGGCCTGGTGTGTGTTCTTACACAGACACAAAGCAAGACAAGGGGCAGACCCTGAGACAGCAAAGTCTCTGTGATGGTCTCAACTTCTGCAGTTAGGCTTCACCCCCAGAGACAATTTAAACACGTGAGCAGTTGTTTAATGGAGCTGCTGAAGCCTCTGAAGTCTGCAGTGAAGCAGACTGTCTCGTGGCGGGCTGCAGAGTGTGCAGATTGTCTGGTCAGATGGTCCCGTAGATCAAATGGGGGGAAATCAGCAATGCTTACTGAACTGTGAGATAGATGAGAAAGCATCCTGGAAACAACAGTTTGTAGTCTTTTTTAACATAACAGAGCATGGGAGCAAAATTCTTGATGCAAAGTAAAAAACTGAACCTAAATTTAAAACAAAAAAGTGTTTATAGAGAAATGATTCTTAGCTCATAATGATAATTAGAACATTTAGCACAAAGAGACTGGGACTGGTGTGAAAACTGAGACAAAGCAATTGTGAAACAAAAAGCTTAATAAAAGCATCTCCATGCTGTATGTGTCTTCCCGTCGACTGCAGTCTTTCTTGCTGTTAGAATGGCTTTGGTTCTTTATGCAGTCTGAATAACTGAGTCACAATCCAGTTGTTTTCTCTGGCAACTAAATCACAACGTAATATGCATAATTGCATGATGCATAATTTTTTTGTTGGGCCCACTTGAGCGAATGATGAGCTTATTATTGATAGCAAATTAATGCGCACGAGAGGAGAGAGAACCGTGACAGAAATTTAGGAATCACTCTGACAGATGGAAGAATCGGGCACATTTAGGATGAGATGTGTGAAATATTAGGGAATATGTTTTTACAGAAAGAAGATGTGAGACACCACAAAAATCATCATCATACACTTTTTTGTTTTTGCTGTGATAAAGAAGAGATTTTAATCTTGTATGTACAGTATGTACAAAGTAGAGTTCTTGGACCTCCAATAAAGCCCACTGTCAGTGCAGAACCATTTTAAAGAGATATACTATATCTACTGTGATGCAACAGCTCTCCATTAACGCACCTCACTAGAATCTGAACGAGAAGTGCCGTTCAGAGCCGCCTGTGCTGGGAGAGTGGAAAACCACACGAGTGATCACATTTAATGTCAAGATGCAAACTGGAAAAGTTGTCTCATGGGTGCCTTCATGTGCTCACAAGGCATCCCCAGCAGATCACATGATCATTAAATCATTATTGTAGTAATGAAGCTGTAATAATTGATGAAATCGATTAAAACGAGAAAAAATTGAATCCGTTAATTACACACAAACAACAAAAAAGATACACCTAAAAGATTCTGCAGCATGGAGAAAATGCAAAATGTTAAATCTGGTAAGTGTGGGAATGGGAACTGATAATATTCTTTTGATACCAAGGCCATTATCCATTCAGCTTAACAGTCTGCTTCTTCATCGATTCCCTTATTGAATTCCAATCAATTTTCTGTGTTGAAATAAAAGTAGGCCTACAATATTTGAATATTTGTACAGCATTCATTTTCATTTAGGTTTTCTTAGTCAAAGAAAAAATCAGCTGTTATTACACAGACAACTTGATAACGAACATGCTGCTTGTTTGTGAAGCGGTGGTCGTGCATAGAGTGTCAGATACGTGGCATTCCTGGAGTTTAAGCCCATGTCGATAGGAAAGATGATTTAGTATATTGCTAGTGTTTTCACTCTTACTTGAAATGATCATTTTACAGACATTACAAGCAGCACTCATCTTAATTCGTAAAATGAAGCCACACCTTGGATTGTTTCTTCTTCTCTGCCACGACTCCCTCTTGTTCAATAAAATGAATTATAAGCTTGGAGGCTTGTGATTACAATGGATTGGACTATTTGGAACCAGTTCTCGTTTCCCATCTCTCCGTAAAGGACAAGTTGTGTGTCCACTGAGAGCCTCTTCATAGGCTGGTATTAAGTTAAATACACTGGGATGCATTTGACCACTTAGCTTTTGTAGTGAAGCAATAAAGCATCCTGTTGCATCCCCAACAAGACCTATGTCATCAATCCAAGATGTGGTGGTTCTTTTAGTGATACTGAAGTGTTGCATGACCAGCTCCAAGCTGTCCATTTATGTTCAGATCACCGACAGGCATGTTAATATGAGGTATAAACAGGATCAGAAACACAGATTTTAACAGTTTCTGGTTCTAATGATGATATAAATCTTTGTTACCATCACCTTGAAGTAAAATCTTGGATTAATGTGAGTAAGACATTATAAACTTGGGGAATATGAGGGTGATATTGTTGGAAGACCACTGAGAATCTCTGAAATCTTTGATTGTGTCAAACTCCTCTGAAAATACTCCCACACATCTCTTTGTTGCATCTGATGTGCCACTTTCCAACTGAAACCTTTTTCAGTTCTGTCACAGGACTGTGACTGTAGGATCCAAGTCAGGCTTTCTTTTGGTAGATTTTAAAGGAGATTTGAGACTTCAAAGAAGGTAAATGTTCTCATTTTATTGTATATGCTGTTTATTCCGACTCAAGTGTTCCATCACCTTGTGACATCAAGGACATATCGGAGTCTATTGCAAACTACTTTGCAGTAAAAGCTCAACTTAAGCTTGGAACAAAATGTAAAAGCATGAGAAACTAAACTATGTATAAGAGGAATGCCATTGTACTGTATGTGCTGAAACCTTGAAAAATAATCATTGTAGTAAGTGTTTGTTTCCTTTTCTTTGGCTTAAACAGCCCAGCGGCAGTTTCACTTTTATAAAACAAACAGCTTGTAGCAGGATAAAAGTAAAGGGAAGAAAAAGAACACACAAATCAGCTTTATAAATTAAATCAATTCCAGTGAAACAGTGATCTCCTGTCTCTCTGTGAACAACAAATGGCCCGTCGTCTCAGTGTCTGTCTTTGTGCTGCGAGGAGAGTGAAGAAGGTACAGAGACTCTGACCTGCAACAAAGTGAAGTCCACGCCCAGCATCACTTATGCGTCCAAACTCCAAATTTCTGATGAGGCAACTTCCTCACTGGTTCCTTGCAGCCATTTTGCAGGTTCAGTTTCCCCCTCCTCTGACCTCCAGGCGGCTGAGCCCACCTCCCTCCCTCTGTCTGTCTCTCTTCATTTCTCTGAGTGTTCGTCTCAGATGATTTCCAGAACATCGCAGGGCACGAAGCCTCTCTTCTTTCCGCTCGCCACTCTGATGAAGCCACTGCGTTCGCCCTCGCTGCTCACACAGATCTGAGGGGAAAAATGAAATCTTACTTTAATGTGGAAAACTATTAAGAATATAAAGTATAGATGATTAGTACAGTCACACAAACATATTACATACTTTTGGCTCTATACTTTTAGGGCCTTTACACAGCAAAAGTGCTTTTTTCCACGCAATTAATTTGCAGGTGCAAATGTTTTTTTTCTTGATCTGATGTTTTTGTTCACGTTCGCACCATGAATAAAGGCGAATCGAAAAATGTGTTAAAATGTTGAAAAATCTCGGTCTCTCTCTCCTAAACCCCAAAATCATGTCATCTAATGTTTTGTTTCGTACTCTCGCAAAAGGGTTTTAGTTCACCGTCATGGGAGGGTGTGTAGAGCTGCCAATATTTGAAAGTAAGAAGCTGCGATGAGTATTTTGGGGTACTTTTATAGTACTTTTCTATGAAAACCGATTAGTCGACTACTAAAATAGTCACTGATTATTCTTATAGTCGATTAGTCATCCATTAGTCGACGAATCATTGCAGCCCTAATATGCCTACACTATCATAGAACATAAGGGATGATTGATATGTTTCACTGAGGTGTCCATGGTCGGCTTTGGGTCGTTATATTTTTGTATGAAGAATTAACATAGATAAGACTATAAACAAATGCTTTCTATATGCAAACACTTTCTTGAATATCAACCACCATCAAATTGAGTGTATCCAAAAGTTCTGTCAGGCCAAGCGCACCAAAGGAGGCTAAAAACAGCGCAACCAAACAGCACCTGAGAGGACACTGTCCCTTTAAGTCTAGCACTGGCTGCTGTAACCCTGCAACATCGCAGCTCCAGTTACATTGCTCCATTGCCCCCATGGGGTTACAGAGCGTGTCCCAGCCTTAACTGAATATCCCTACTTCCTGTCCCCCTACTTCTGGCCTTCTTGCTAGGACCACACCATGTTTGAACTCAACCTTCTTCTTGATCTAAACTACACACCCGTAACATTTTGTGACTCTATCTTAAACTGTTGCAACATTGGTGCATTGACAAAATCTGTCCACAGATAGACAGAAATATAAACACCTGGCAAAATACTCAAAATGGCTTCTATGGTAGTTCCCTCTCTCATCTCTGTTTTTATGTGCATCAGTCTCCACTTGTTTTTATTTTTAGAGGCATATTATTAGTCACATGTACCTGAAGGAGCTATACATGTCCAGCTGGAGTGTAATTGCTTTGTTTGAGAATTACATTTAAAGATAATGCTGATACTGCTGTTTCAATTACGCCTGTTCATCACATTGCTATGATTACAGGATGAGTACTGAGATCAAACTTTTCCTTCCTTCTTTCCAGCTCCTTATGTCTCTCACTGACCCTCACGATGGACCAGAACACATTGTATTTGCATGCTTGCTCTAAGTACTCTATAAAATCTTCCCCTGGGTTTATGTAACTGGAAAAGAAAGGCAGAGGGTCATGGACTCATCTTGTTTTCGGTGGTTTCATCTCCACTGGGGGTTGCTTACTTTAGTCTCCTCTGAGTCCGAACATGCCCTGGGAAGCATTGTGGGAAAAGGGGGCCTAATCTGAGTACAGCCATTATGCCAAAATGCTAATGTAATGGTAACTCCTAAGAGGGATTCTCTATCAGCCAACTCCAGTCGAGCTTTTCAGTGAATAAGCGTATGCTGAGGGGAGAGTCGCTGGAGGTAAGAGGCGACGTGGGAGCGGTAGGAGGGTAATAAGATGGCTAAAGAGCTGCGGGATAATGTGAATCTGATGTGCTCTAATGGCTGGGGTGTGATCATGAATTAGACACCTGGTAATGTGGATGTTTTTATGTCCATGATAAAGGTCGTTGCTTCTCCAGCCCATGATGATGACGATGTGTGATGATGACGATGTGATCAACCCTGCTAATGTTTGGTCTAAATTAATCCTTCATGTGTTTTGTCTTTGTGGCTCCAAAGGCAGGCAGTTTACCTTAACAACAATCCTATCATCACTGTCTGGTGAAAGTATTTTTATTTTCAAAATGTCACTTGATCATAAGTTTTTGCCTTTACTGATATGCTAGCTCAGATAAATAGGAAATGTGGGGGAGAGAGAGAGAGAATGAATGACATGCAGCAAAGGGCCACAGTCTGGACTCGAGCCTGGGCTGTTGTGGAGGACTCAGCCTATGTGGGATACACACTCTACCAGGTGATCTAAAGGTTGCAAAATTTTCTTGCACACATTACTTAAAGCCATTATATGGGTAGTCTGAGTGGGCGGAAGTTTGCTGCATAGATCAGCCTCTCATTGGGCGGAACAAGCCACCCACTGAAGTCCCGCCCTACCACCTCCAGTTGTGTAGCAGTTTTCAAGCGCACCGTTGCTGTGGCACCGCCAACAACGACTGTGATTGGTTGAAAGAAATAAAAAAAGCCGGGGCGTTTTTTTCTCCAATCTTAAAGTGAGAGTCGGCACAGCCAGACCTTTCTTTTCTTGAGAAAGGTCTGGTGAGCAAGACTATTATATGGGTGAACTTAAACTTTCTGACTTTGGCGCTCTCCAGTGGTAGTATCTAAAGATATTGCTGCAGACATCAATAGCACTTCTCGTCACACATGCTAGATTGGATTGATTCTGTTTGACTTGGGATTTGCATCCCTGTACAGGTTACCTGCTTAATGGTGGGTCTTTAACTAATGACGCACTTGTGCTTGTGAACCAACAGAACATTTTTTCGTCCACCCTGCTGGTGTTATTGTGTTCAACAACTTTCTTGTACTGTTGTCAGGTATGAACGTCCATCAGATGGCCAGCTCCTGCCTGCATGGTCGTCTTGCGGGACAGCTGCGCTCTGAGATAAACTGAGTTCAACTTGTGGGACCTAGCAGTCACGAGATGTCACGTGATGAGGAACAACCAATCACAGCCAACAGATATCTTTCCCTTCTTCCGTAAATATCCGTCTGTGGTAACTACGGAGAAGTTGATCATTTTGGTGCAGGGCTGCTAGAGCTTTACATCTGTCCCACAGGTATAGGACGATAGGCCCACACACTTATATACAACACCTGGAGGAAGATCAGCTTTGCACTCAGGATTTCAGGTAAATAGGCTATGATACTGTGCTTGTTAAGGTTGCTTAGCAACCGCAGACACAACCTGCCACCGCACTCTTGAAAGCTGGCACAAAAAAGGCACAAAAATAGTGCCCAGCACCTAAACTTGTGTTTTCCAGGCAGTTAAAGGGCCTTTGTGTTTCATCTGCAGACCAGGCTCTTTCCATTCACCTCTCTCTTTCGTTTTTTTCATACATGGTTGAAACTGATAAAGTATCTGCTATGTCTTGCAGTGGAGGCTACAAATATGTCACTGAATCGTCTCTGAATACTGACACTGAATAATGATGACAAAACCCATCAAACATCACAGCAACTCGCTTGAAGGTGAACCGGCGCACTTCGGACCAACTATGGAAAAAGCTCGATCCTTTGGTCCTTTGCTACTTGGGCACCTGGTTGGCTGGTGAAACAGCAACAGCAGGTGTTTGCTGGGTAGCACTCTGCTGCTGCTTGCATTGTGTTAAACATCTTTAGGTCAAAACACAGAAAAAGCCTGAACAATAGGAAAAGAAAAAAAAAAGAAAAATAGAAATAGAAGGCAGAGTCACTGCAGATGCAGACACTGACACAGACGACCCATAACAACAGGGCAAGATAGTTTAGGATATTAAGGGGAACATCCGGTCCAGCCTGGTTTTAAGTGAATTCTTTTCACTTAAAATATCAATCATCTGGCTATCATCACCATCATCATCATCCTCATAAGGGTCTGTACAGTACCTGTCCCTCCTTCAGGGTGATCTGGCCTTGCTCCTTACAGCCGATGAACGTCCTGTTGCATCTGAACACTTGGTCATCAGATCGCACCTGATGAGCATAGGCTGCTGGGAAGAAGCCGATCCTGTCCTCAATTACCCCCTGAAACACAATGAAAACAGCTGACACATGGAAAAGCTGCACAGTACATAAGAGGATTACAACGCCAGTGATTAGATAAAATCCTTGAAAAAACAACAGGGGTTCTGTTGGCTGCCGTACACAAAACCTGTGTACAGTTTTATTTTAGATCGTATGCACTGATATCTACCTGATACATGGACATAAAGAAGATACAGTATCTCACATAAGTGAGTACACCCCTCCCATTTTTGCAAATATTTCATTATATCTTTTCATGGGACAACACTATAGAAATGACACTTTGATATAACTTAAAGTAGTCAGTGTACAGCTTGTATAGTAGTATAGATTTACCTTCCTCTGAAAATTACTCAACACACAGCCATCAACATCTGAACAGCTGGAAACATAAGTGAGTACACGCCACAGTGAACATGTCCAAATTGTGCTTAAAGTGTCAATATTTTGTGTGCCAACCATTATTATCTAGCACTGCCTTAACCCTTTTGGGCATGGAATTCACCAGAGCTCACAGGTTGCTTCAGGAATCCTCTCCCACTCCTCCATGATGACATCATGGAGCAGATGGATGTGAAGACATCTTGCGCTTCTCCACCTTCAGCTTGAGGATGCCCCACAGGTGCACAGGTGAGTTTAGGGCTGGATACATACTTGGCCAGTCCATCACCTTTACCTTCAGCTTCCTCAGCAAGGCAGATGTCATCTTCTAGGTGTGTTTTGGGTCATTATCATGTTGGAAAACTGCATTGCAGCTCAGTTTCTGAAGAGGAGTGATCATGCTGTGCTCTGAATTCATGTTTCCCTAAATGAACCGAGCTTCCCAGAGCCGGCAGCACTCATGCAGCCCCAAACCATGATGCTGCCACCACTATACTTGAATGTAAGCAAGGGACAGTTGTCTTGGTGCTCTTTCAGCATGTGTGGCACCTTGGTGAAGAGCACCAAGACAACTGTCCCTTGCTTACATTCAAGTATAGTGGTGGCAGCATCATGGTTTGGGGCTGCATGAGTGCTGCCGGCATGATTGCCCCTCTTCAGAAACTGAGCTGCAAGTTTTCATTATCAAGTTTTCCAACATGATAATGACCCAAAACACACCTAGAAGATGACAACTGCCTTGCTGAGGAAGCTGAAGGTGAAGGTGATGGACTGGCCAAGTATGTATCCAGCCCTAAACTCACCTGTGCACCTGTGGGCCATCCTCAAGCTGAAGGTGGGGGAGTGCAAGATGTCTTCACATCCATCTGCTCCATGATGTCATCATGGAGGAGTGGGAGAGGATTCCTGAAGCAACCTGTGAGCTCTGGTGAATTCCATGCCCAAAAGGGTTAAGGCAGTGCTAGATAATAATGGTTGGCACACAAAATATTGACACTTTAGGCACAATTTGGACATGTTCACTGTGGGGTGTATTCACTTATGTTGCCAGCTGTTCAGATGTTGATGGCTGTGTTTTGAGTAATTTTCAGAGGAAGGTAAATCTATACTACTATACAAGCTGTACACTGACTACATTAAGTAATAACAAAGTGTCATTTCTATAGTGTTGTCCCATGAAAAGATATAATGAAATATTTGCAAAAATGGGAGGGGTGTACTCACTTATGTGAGATACTGTATACTGTATATGTCTGCACTGCAGTAACTATATACTCTATGCAGGTGTTACATCAGGTACAGTATCCATTGTTCAAAGACCAAACAGGCCAGATGTCTGCGTTTATCTACAGCCTGTAGAGAACAGCAACAGAGGTTAAATGCGTGACGAGTTTCTCCACGGTCTGGTGGCAGCCGGCTGCCTCTGTACAATCACGTGTTGGCCCTTTTGTCTCCCTAATTTATCTGTCATGCAGTTGTGTCCTGCGGTGGCCTGTTGCCTCGCTCCTATAATTTACAGCTGGAATTCCTGTAATTTATCAATTCATTTCTCACGTGGGCATTGTTGGGGCTTTGTGGAGAACACACGTCTCAACAAACCTAAACTAGACGACAACAAACATCTTAGAATTTTTGCACTTTGGAACGCTGATTGGTTTCGTACCTACCTTCCACCAGTCCTCATTGGAGTCATCAGCCAATAAGATTCTGTCTCCCGCACTGCAATATAGAGCAAAACAAAGAAGAAATTACTCAAAAAAGGTCAATTTTGTTCTCTTTGAATCTACATGTTTGGATAAATCCATGTAAATTTTGATACGCCACCTTAGCCCTGTGCTTTAGTGGTACATGTCCGCAAACAAATTTGAAATAAATCTAATTACTGATCAGCTATCCTACAATACAAGGTCAATGATCTGTATTTACATCTCTGGATGTAAATCACGGATCATCAGCTCGTGAGGATGTTGACTTTTTACCTGGAGTCTGTTAGCTTTAGCCTCCATCTTTTAGCACAATATGCATGCATGTACCAATTAAGAGCCTCTTGAAGAACCCCTTCAAACGTCCTCCCCTGACCCTTATTAAACCCCTAAAAACGTATCACTGTTTGTCAAACTGACATATTTTGAAGTTTTTTTCAATGAAAAAAAGGCTAATCGCTCTCTACAAAGTTAAAAAACATCACAGTGATAGATAACATGAACCATCAGTTGGACTGTGTTATCAAACAGCTAATAATTTGTTGCCAATGTTAGATAAAAACCACATTTACACAAAACGTTTAGCTGAAAACGGAGTTGTTTCTAATTTTCCTTTTTGATAAAAGTTCCACGTTCAGATGACAGCATTTTGATAACAATCCCCGTGCACACCGATCCGAAAAAATGACCAAAAACACTGTAGTGTACATGCCGGGCCAGTAGTTGGCGGTGTGACTTTTAATGAAACAACACGCGCCCGCAAACAAGCGTTTCCTTCTACAGAGCGGTGATGTATAAACAAACAAAATGGCAACCGCACGAACGTTTGTCTGGATGGACGATGAGGTGGAGTTGCTACAGTAAATCTACACTTTGCTGGAGAAGCGTTGATACATTCAACAGATTTCCAAAAAATTGCACTCTGGAACCCGTTTTCAAAACGTTGCGTTTTCAGGCACCTGAAATGCCGCTGTCATTTAAACGATGAGCCAAAACACAACTAAAGTTTAGCGTTTACAGTCGAAATTGTTGTCGTATAAACAGGACCTTAGCTTCAGGGGCGGACTGGGACTAAAAAACAGCCCTGGACTTTGACTCGGCCCAGCCCACAACAACCGGTGCGCATACGGTATGCGCTTCCTTCTTCTTCAATTTGATTGGAAGCCGGCCGGCTCATAGATATCTATGGGCCGGCTGGCATCCAATTTAAAGGCTGCCACCTAGCGGACTGGACGTGGAACAGTAGATTATCAGGGAGAAAAAGGGGAAAAACAAAACAAAACAAAACAAAACAAAAAAAAAAACGGTGATGACTGCGTGGCGGCCGCCGGCCGTCCTGGAGTACTGGCTGTTCTGTGTTGTTGATCCATTAACAAATCAAGTTACTGCAGGTTTTGAAAAGTAAATCACAGGGTGAATTAAATAACAACCGTAAGCTATTGTAAGTGCTGATGACATTAGAGGAGCTTCACCTCTCCTCTTGATCTCTTTAAGAGGCCTTCTAATACATGAATGCCGTGAAGTCGAGCAAAAAAAAAAAGAAGGTGTTTGTGTTTTCTAAATCCTGTTTGCTGTGAGTAATTCGTCTTTGTCCAGGAAACGCATGAATCATTTTACCCCATCGCCGCATGCACCATAATTACTAGCATCTGTTCAAAGCCGTTGGCTAAATTTAACCAATAAAAATCAAAAGGACCAGCACAGTTGAGCCAAATGTTGGTTTACGTAATTTCCCTTTTTTTTTTTCCTCTTGTGGTTCGGTTATAACACTGGCTCTCCTTTGCTTGGTAATGCTCACCGTGACTCAGAAAACACTGTTCATTGTAGGTGAGAAACAGCACAGCACCCGACGTTGTTAAAAACTTCTAAAGTGATGTAAACAAAGTAGATACATGTTGTGTGAAAGAATAACAGGAAGTGTACCATATGAGCATCTCCTTTGAATATTTAGTTCCTCATGAAAAACTAAAAAAAGAAGTGGGAAAACAGGTTTGAAATTACTGTCCGTTAAATAACAAAAAACAACAGTGGGTTTTCTGATTCTGTATTCTCAAAGTGCCGAACTCATCATCATTACAATCACCACATAGTCGAAGGTAATCATGTAATCAGAGCATGTAGCCGCAACCGAAACTAATCACAAACCTGATTTTCTCACTTAAAATGAAAATTGAACCTTTTCATTAAAGATTCCATTTTTCCCCGTTTGTGATTTATGTGTTAGCGTTTGATGTATTGATTACTGTCTGCAGCCACAGCCCGAGGAGAAAAACATTGATGTGGGCTCACACAGGAGAGTGAAACTGAAACAAAGCTTGGTGAACTTTGTGGCGTACAACAGGTATCGGTGGAGTCCAACAGAAGAAGTCAATGAATTTTAAATTACGCCTGATGAGTGAAGCTTTTCTCGACCGAAGAGAGAGGATGTATTCATCAGTGTGTGTGTGTGTGTGTGTGTGTGTGTTGGAAAAAGACGGAGAGAACAAGTGCGCTCTCATATCCCTAAATCCTCGCAGGATTTCTGAGAGAACCAGGAGCAAATGGGTACTTATGCTGAAGGACTGCTCATCGTGAACACTCTACCAGAGGGCTTGTTTCATCCAAAGTATGTTGCAGTTGATGCCCTATCAATTATGGTTAAGGAAGGGATAAAATCTGTAGTCTGAGTTTCAGAATCTGTTGGAGGTAATAAGACAGACTATTCTGCATTAACAGAATATGTATGCTAGATGGTTATAGTCACTGCTGGCCTTGTAGTCGAACTGGATTTACGGCAGCGGGCTTGGAGAGAAGTGAGCAAAGCCATAGGGTTACATGGTAAGTTCTGAAAATATATATTTGTGACTAGTGTAATCTGTTTTGTTGAGCTGCTTCTTAGCAAAGTGCTCTGAGAAATTTAAGTTGGTCTTTTTTGGTGGAAGGTAAACAATGGAAGAAGTGAAGCAGTCATGCGCTGCCGTGGAAAGCTTAATGATCACGTAGCTTCACTGTGACAGAGCCCATCAGTTTGTACAGTACCACTCTGAATGAGTTTTTGCATTTTGGCCGTTGCCACCTTGGTTTTATGGAGCCAGAAGTGAGCATATTTAAATGAGAGGGTGATGCTGTGGTGGAGCGAGGGGTGAATCACGCCCAACTTGTCATTTACAAGGGTCAGATTCAGATTTAGATCAACTTTACGCTCTAAAGCATACCCTGCCTCATCATCAGTTTTACGCTAATGGGACCATAGTCTGCCGGTCTCTCTCTCGTATCCCATCGCTGCATCTTGCTAACTCGGCCATTCTGGATGTCACTAACTCGGCTTCTTCTCCGGAGCCTTTGTGCTCCACTGTCTCTCAGATTAACTCGTATTGCAGCGGTGCCTGGATAGCATGACGTGTGTGGTTGTGCTGCTGCCGTGGTCCTGCCAGATGCCTCCTGCTGCTGCTGCCATCATTAGTCATTAGTCATTAGTCATACTTCTACTGTTATTATACACATATGATTATTATTACACATGTATACTGCCAGATATTAATACATACTTTCAACATATTGTACCACAGTAGCCAGAATTATAACTATAATATTATTACTTTCATTAATGTTGCTGTAAGCTACTGTCATTACCGTCTGTCCTGCATCTCTCTCTCTCTCTCTCTCTCTCTCTCTCTCTCTGTCTCTGTCTCTCTTTCTGTCTCATTGTGTCATACGGATTACTGTTAATTTATTATGCTGATCTGTTCTGTACAACATCTATTGCACGTCTGTCCGTCCTGGAAGAGGGATCCCTCCTCAGTTGCTCTTCCTGAGGTTTCTACCGTTTTTTTTCCCCCGTTAAAGGGTTTTTTTTGGGGAGTTTTTCCTTATCCACTGTGAGGGTCCAAAGGACAGAGGGATGTTGTATGCTGTAAAGCCCTGTGAGGCAAATTGTGATTTGTGATATTGGGCTTTATAAATAAAATTGATTGATTGAATTGAATTTAAAAAATTCTAATCATGCTATTTTAACAAAGACTTGAAACTAGCAACTGAGACAACAAACTCCTTTGGGAAATGTTTACTGAGGTAATAAATCAAGTGACAAGAAGGGTAATTTTCTCACAGACTTGAATACAATCTGACTTCTTTTGCCAACCAGTAGAGTCGCCCCCTGTTGGCCATTAGAAAGAATGAAGGTTTAATGCACCGCTGCATTGGCTTCACTTTTCAGACTTGCCGGCTATGTCCACTTCTTTTATACAGTCTATGGTGTTGAAGTTACTCTTAAAGATCTTTTTTGTTCTCTATGGCGGCACCCATGGCACTAAGCTGTAATTGCAGGTGTGTTTTTGGATCTCACTTTCCAGGCCATAGCAACTGTTTACTTGCAAAGCGAACAGAGACTGGGATAAACAGTGCGCTGCTTTACAGACAAGTTGAAGAGCGAGTCTGTTGCTGGCTGTTGTGGCCTCCGCCTACCCTCTCTGGTGTACCAACTGCTGCTGGGTGATGGAAAACTAACTGTGCGCCACAGACACCCACTTCGTAATGCTGGAAATACAGCATCATCAGTGGATCACCATTGAGTTACCTCACTGGGCCATAGATAGTGATTTAACAGATATTTATTTAATGAAAATCTTTGAGATTATTACTTAAAGTTGATAAGTAAAGTAAATTAATGTATATTACTGTTCATTTTATTTAGATGTAACTGCCAGTGATGGTGGGCTTGATGTCATTTTGCCTTTTTGGTTTGTTGACATTGCTGTAGTTCTTTTTACCCAATCGTAAATATCACTGTCATAAGAGGTGCCCAATATCTCCAATTACGACCACAAAGCTGACATGGAGCTTTCTTTCATAGGTTTGTCTGAAAAGCGACACGTACTTCCTGCTGCTTTCTCTCCATATTCTCAGTTAAACTGGCTTTTATGTATTGGCCAGCGCAAATCGAACATAGCATCCTTTTAACCAAAATAAAATGTTTTTTTTAACCAGAATTCAAAAATAATATGTCCCTTCTCAGCCCCTGGTAGACTGTCTATGCCTCATGGGAGCTATAAAAGGACTTCTAAATGGACTTTCTAAAGACTGCGTGTTTCTCTCAGGATAAATCCAAAAAGACATGAGATTAACTGATAATAATAAACCATCATGGCACACACACACACACACACACACACACACACACACACACACACACACAGGTATTATTATTGAAGCCACTCGAGGGAAATAAATCTTTCAGGACCATTTGCTACAAAGAGGATGCTAATTAGTTCCTTTTGTAAATTTCCTGTATATTTTGACTTCTAGTGCTCTCAGTGCAGCAGTTATATAAGATAAAACCCAGAAGCACTAATTAACAGAACTTCCTGCCACTAAAAAGCAGATGAATATAGACAACTAGCAGACAGCTCTTCGACAGATTGCTTTCATGTTTCCAAATGTACTATTAAACACCTTGTGTACATGTGACTGTAAGCGAGCATAAAGTACACTTTGATTGCATTTCACTGGTATTTGTTTGTATTTGCTAGTCTGAGTGGGCGGAAGTTTGCTGCATAGATCAGCCTCTCATTGGGCGGAACGAGCCACCCGCTGAAGTCCCGCCCTACCACTTCCGGTTGTGTAGCAACTTTTGCGGTGTTTGATTTTGCGGGGATGTAGCCATTTTTCTGCCATGGTTCGCGTCCTGTAGGCGATATTTTTGTGGGCGTGTTACACCAAAACCTATTTTTGCAAGCGCACCGTTGCTGTGGCACCACCAAGAACGATTGTGATTGGTTGAAAAAAATAAAAAAAGCTGGGACGTTTTTTCTCCAATCTTAAAGTGAGAGTCGGCGCAGCCAGACCTTTCTTTTCTTGAGAAAGGTCTGGTGAGCGAGACTAGTATTTGCAGACTCACATGCCCATATTTGTGCTGCTGAGTAGGGATGCATTTAACAATTATTTTTGTTATCGATTCATCTGCCCATTATTAGTTAATTTTATAACTAATGTATGTTGCAGGTGCAACATACATTAAGTTTGTCAATGCAACGAAAGGCAACAGGAGTCAATTGAATGAATCTCATAAACCAGTCACACAGAGAATCTGTTTGTCTGTCACTGATGCTGTGTGTGTATATGCAATCAGTAGTACAGCGTAACTAGAAGTAAGATGATACCTGCCCAGCGCAGATTTGTTTGCCTCCTGGTACAGATTTGTTTGCTTAAAGGTGAAATAAGCAGCATGACCTTGTTGTATTTTACATCCAACCCTGCAGGTGACCTTTGGGGATGTACATGTGTGAGTGTGAATGTATAAGTCAGCGCTGAATTCAATCAATCTTCTTCAGAGTGTTTGAATTAAATTTCATTAAATTTCACAGTGAGCTTGAATTGTGTCTCGGCCTCTTTGTTTACTTTGCCTTCTCTTTTCTTTTGTTGAACAGCAAAAAATGTATCAAAAGAGATCACTGTGAGCATGTCACAGTCAATCACATCGCTGACTTAGGCAACATCCACAGTAATGCTGTTTAAAATGAAAACAATCTCCGTGCCTTTGAGGGTTTAAGCACCATTTCAGAATTAATCTCCATCCATACTGAAAACACATATCACATAATAATTTACATACATCGAGTATGTGTATACCTTTTTCCTGTAAACAGGAGGAAGATTGTCTACTTGCAGTTGGTTGCTTAGTTTCAGAAGATACTACGGAGATGGTAAAAAATAAAACCAGAGATTTCTTTGCTTGGAGCGATGATGAGGTAAAACTGTTAATGACATGCACTGCAAATGCAAATTTTCTAGACTATTACCCAGAGGAGCTACATGTGAGAGTGCAAATGTCTGAATCAGTTGGATCGGACATTAAACGTGACTATATCTGACCAGTTCCTGAGTACAAGTCTATGTAATGTCCGACTGAGCCAATGTGTAAATAAAATTCACAGAGAATGAGTGGGCCTCTTGATTATATTTCTATAATGGGGATTGTGTGAAACAGGAAGAAATCAAACATCCAAGGGGGAAGAAGAGGGGTCATTTACATGAAGACATCAATGAAAATGTTTAACTGTCAGTAAAGGCTGAATCGTCAGACAAAGTCAAGGAATGGCAAGAGACTTGTAGTTTATGACCAAATTACAAATCAGCTATGAAACTGCAGAGTAATCTGTGTCATGTCCTTCCTCCTGTACGCTCCATCCTTGCCCAAAACCAGTGTCCTGTTGTGTGCTACATATATGAAAAGTAAACTCAGGACAACGTCTTGACCTGATTTTCTGGACATAGCCGGGAGTTTATATGAGAAAACAGCCATAGACTGGGAGTTGTTGCAGAGCTAACACTGCAACATATAAGACCAGTATCAGGAGCATTACCCATTGCCGGAGGAAGCAATGGCAGTACCCACACAAGAAGGATAAATTCACAAAAGTTATGTAGACCAAGTTATAATATTTTGACTGATAAAACTGCATCAGCAAGCAAACTTGGGTGTCTGTGTCATCATTTCCAAAGGTCTCCCTTTCCACCCATCCAGACTAAAACACACAACCCTGAACTTTTCAAACTAAAAGGTCTGTTTCATTATTTCCAAAATGAAGGGTAAGTGTGGTAGCTAGGCGTAAATGTAGCACTAGTTATGCTTTTTAAACCGAAAACGTATTAGTGTGGGTGTAGCAACAGTAATGACAGTGAGTGTTATAGTGGGATTTCTTGATTACAGTGACGTGTGTATGTGTAAACTGACTTCATCTCCAGGTCATGGCTGTCTTGAGGCGTGAAGCTGAACAAGGCCACATATGTGTTGAGCTTGAGGACATCTTTCTGTAGCTGGCTCTGCTCCAACTAGAAAACAGACACACATAGAAACACACAGATTTTCAAGAAGTCTCCGGAAAGAGGAAGTTAAGTTAAACCAAGCTCATAGTCACACAAACACAATACAACACCATATTCTCCATTGTCACTTTTCTCACAGCCGTATCTTAAAATAGTCTTTTGGCATTCACGTCGGCAGGAGAAGCCCTTGTTTACAGAACACTGATAGGCCGGGGAGCCGATTAAGTTGTTCTGCAATCTGTTCCTTTTAATCCACCGTCAACACGAGTGGGAGAAGCGGGATCAGGTTTTCATGAACGCTCAGGAAGTTTAAACAGGACAGGGCTGTGGGTGGAGAGGAAGTTGTCGGAGAAGTGTTAGCACAATTAGCAGGGAGATGCACCGCCATTCTGACGCTCTTCACACCTGCTCAGCAAACGGGTGGGCGTTTTCTTGTTTTATCACCGATACCTTGAGTATCTGAATAATGCCTGCTGCCTGCTGTGTCCCTGAAATCTCTCCAAATGATAACTTGTCCCGTTCGTGTATAATGCTTGGGGGGAAATTTTGCCAAAAGCTATGAGAATCACTTTTTAAGACACACTTGAGGCTGTTTTTGAAAAAAAAAAAAAAAAAAAGCAGGAGAATTTGCCATCTTGGAGGCACTGTATAGTTAATGAAGAGAAGTGTTTCTGGTCTTTTGTGGCTCCCCGAGCATCATCCACGAGGACAGGCAATGTGCCTGATGGATGACTTGAGTTAGCTGCAGCCACAAGGCAAACTGCCTCTGTGGCCTCTGGGTGAAAACAACAACATCAAGTGGTGGCAATCCATTACAGCTAACTAAGAGCCGCTCGCTGGCCTTGAGAGACTCTTACGCTAGGGGAGCCTGAACACTTGATGAGAGGTCAGGCGGGTCGAGATAGCAGCCTCCTCTATAACTAAGTTATCAGAAAAGACGGCAGTATTTGAAGTGAGGGACTATGTGGTGAGGGGAAAAAAAGAGCAGTGTGCATTCCTGACCACTCAGGGCTGTAAAACAACCTGTGAACACAACTTTGACATATTATCACCTTATAAACTTTTTATAGTAAACCTGTTAGTCAACAGTTTCCTATTTACATGTCTAGCAAACAGAGACTAATATTAGCTTGAATCTGGAGGATGTTTCTGGCCAGCTGGCGATCGTATGTACCTCTCCCTCTCTCTCTTGCTCCAACAACTCCTGAGAAATATATCTTGCTTTAGTAGGCTTTGATTCTCTGCCCAGACCCGACCCGACCTGATGGGTTTGGCCTGGGTTAGGGCTGTAATTTCCCCTGGGCTTGAATCGGCTCGGGTTCGCTCCAATTTCCCGTAGTTTGGTTCCTTTGATTTTTTTAAATGCAGACCTTATAGTCTGTGTAATGTAATGTACTCCTGTCTCTCATGAATGAGGGGAAATGAGGGAATAATCCCTATTTGATATATATGGCAGTATACATGACAGCTTTTGGGCTGAGCCGAACATTCAGTAGGAGAAAGTGCATATCTGAGTTGGTCACATACATCTGTTTCCGCACTGAAAAGACTTGAGATGACTTTAACTTGTAACAAATGTTTTAATATAAATAATGTACATATTTCTTTTCAGTGGAAATTCTGGCTTTTATCTGACTCTGGCTAAAAACTGCTGCCACGGTTCGGGCTTGGACAGAAAGTATGTGGGTTTATGTAGAGTAGGAACAGATTTTTTTGGGCTTGATCACAGCTCTCGTCTCAAGTGGTGGAACAGGTGGCTAAGGTGAGATACACAGCGACTGTGAGTGGTGGGGGTAACATTACAGGATGAGTAAAAAGCAGGCCAGCTGCTCTGTTTTTTGGTTTTCACATGAATACCATCATTTACTGTAAACCCCAGTGACATGTCAGGCAGGTATGAAGGCATGAAAATAACAGATGATGCCCAGGTCTTCTACAGCAGCTAAATGCTTCAATGTGTACACTGAACTTGTTGCTGCACACACTCATTTGATCTATTGTGTAAAAATGTTGATTCATGCAGCTTTAAGAGCTAAATTAATAGATCTTTATTCCAGTGACAGCCATTTGGCTTCTGGCGGTGACACATCTTTATCTTCCAGCAAGAACAAAAGGACAACAGTTACTTTGGATGCACAGCAGCTGCCTGAAAAGAACAGCCAAACAAAAAGAATACCACCTAGAATAAAATCAAACTTCTCATAACAGAGAATCCAACCATAAAGAGAGCACGGCATTTGCCAGACTATTTTACTGTCAATTGATCTCGGGTAGTTTAACACTAAACCTGGAAAGTGCGAACAGATGGGGATCCTGTGTGTGACAGCGTGTGCTCCATTTGTGCGTGTGAGCCTCCCATCTCAAATTGGAGGCTTCTTCTCTGGCGGAGAAGAAGCAGTTTTCGAGCGTTTTTCTCTGCTCATTACCCTGCAGAGCCTCCATCTGTCCGTCCGCCAGCCTGAGCTAATGGACCTGTCGGCTGACAGACAAACAGCCCCCTGCCAGCTGTGCTCGGTCCAGCCTGATAACGCAGTACAATGCACTTCAAGTCTCTTCCCCTGAAATGACCGGCTGGACTGCTAGATTGTATTGCAGGGGATAGGTGTGTGTGTGTGTGTGTGTGTGTGTGTGTGTTTATGTGTGTGTGTACATGTCTGTATTTTTTGCCTTGTATGGTTATTTGTTCATTTTTGTGTTTGTCCAAGTATCTGTGGTCTTTTTCCACTGTTGACAACAGAGATAAACATGTTAAACTATAAAAGTAAACAGAATAGATTGCTGCTCATAGAAAATATGTACAAAGAACATTGATACTGAAAGCACGTCTCCCACAAACCCCCATCATGGAAGATAGAAAAGAAGAAGAGCAGTTTTGAAATCTGCTCATAAAATATTCATCGACACTCTGCTGGAGGTACCGAGATATTCACAGAGGTTTAACCTTTTTCTCTCACTAGCATGAATTTTGCACCATCAGCACTGCATCGACACTGTAGAGGATAAAGACAGAAGCTCCGATTCCAGAGCTGCAGATCCAAACATTACATAAGGTCAAGGCCTCTCTCTATCAGTGCAGGCCAGTGTTTGTGTCAGCTGGGTTATGATTTGTTGCAGCAGGAAGAGAAGTTTTCCCTCTGAGTCCTGGGAAATTCAGCAGTGACGATGGAGGCGAGGGGCAAAGTGCAACATGCTTAATGGGCCCAGAACAGACTGGCTGGGTATCAGTTTTCAGACTGGCCACGAAGAGTTCAGGCACTGGTCAGTGGACAAAGTCTTTTCTCAGAGGTTTTCAAACTGCACCGATAATACAAGACTGTAAGTGAGCTGCAGAATAACAATCACTGTGAAAAGTGAAACTCAAAAATTGCTGACAAGACAGTTTAAGTTTTCCATTCCTCTAAAATAGTACATTCAGATCATTCAGTTTTCTTACTCCTCCCAACTGTGCAGAATCTACTTGCCTGCAGTCAATTTTTACTTGCTCCTATACAAACTGTTGTGTTTACTGGCAGCTATCAAAGACAAAAGTTATTGTCATGAAAAACATCCTCATTTTATCAGCCTTGCTCTCAAGCTTGCAGCAAACTGCACCATACATAGTTGGAGTTTTATCCACATCCTCTAATGCCACCCAACTAAACTCTTGTTTCCAGGATAATTGAAATGCTCGCTTACACTTAAGCTCATAAACTTTGTCTTTACACGCCACCATTTTCTCACGAGTGCCTGATCCGTACTGTGCATGTGCCACTCTAAACAGAAATGAGAAGGAAGCCAGTTGGCTCACTCCTTAGCTACTTCCATCATCAGATCCAGATAAAACTATGTGTTTAATCCTTATTTACCACTTGACTGATGGGGCAAGATAGGGCCAGATTTACTTGCCCTAGGCAGCCCTTATTGAGTCCTGATACCAGTTTATAATCATGTCAAAAACCTTTTTTACTTACACAAGGCAGCAAATGGTCTTTGTCTGTGAAAACTATTTACCTTAAAATCTGACATAATTGAAGGCTCACGTGAAGTTTTGTGGGACAATCTTGTTGTACAACCTTTTCTACAGCTGCTGTAATAACTGATAAAAACACATTTGGAAATTACCATCTACCAATTGTCAATTAACATGTATCCATGCTTTTAAAATTTACTGGGACTGGATTTTTTTTTGTCAAAAGAGGCCAATGAATATAGAGGGCCTTTACTGTAATCAGCCTATTACAGTACTTGCAAACTATTAAAAAATATTCTAAAAAAATCCTAGTTAATATCGGCAGTGTAAGGAAGCAAAGATGACTTTGAATCATTCATACTTCCTCTAAATTCAGTTCATTTGTGGACAATACTAAAATGCAGGTGTATGTTAGAAGAGCAGTACTGCTTAGATATCAATACTGTCCTCATCCACACACACTTGTCAGCATCAGATATGAATTATGTCAAACAATCAGATGGATTTGTTTCATTCATTCATTCATTTTCTGTAACCACTTGTCCTGTTGGAGGTCGCAGGGGGGCTGGAGCCTATCACAGCTGACATTGGGCGAGAGGCAGGGTACACCCTGGCAAGGTTGCCAGACTATCACAGGGCTGACACATAGAGACAGACAACCATTCACGTTCACATTCACACCTATGGGCAATATAGAGTTACCAATTAATTAACCTGTATGTCTTTGGACTGTGGGAGGAAGCTGGAGTACCTGGAGAAAACTGACGCTGACACAGGGAGAACATGCAAACCCCACCCTGGAGATTTGTTTCTTACCTGCAAATCATTAGGTTTTCTCTCTGGCTGCAGGTAATGCTCTGTCCCATTCTCAATGACTGTGAAAACTGCAAAGAAAAAACAAAGAAACAATTAATTAAATCAACAACCATTTTGATAAACAAGATTAAAATCTAAAGCCTTGCTTGTGGCCCCTAAAATCTGCAATGTTTAGCAGATTATATGTTGGACACAATTTATTATATCTTTGCTACTTTTAGAACATTGCCAGAAAAGTGGCACAAATTCCACATTTGGTCCTATGAGTAATTAATGCGAAGACAAAAGGGCAAATTTCAAACCAATTAACTGGTTTAATTATGAGACATATTGGCTGCAATTGGAAAAATTGGCCTGATGGCACTCAATCAAAGTTGTCACCAGAAACAACTTCTACTTCACAAATATCTCCACCATTGACCTCAGTCTTTTTTCCATTAACCCAGGCACTATGAATAAACTGGAGTAGTGTCATGGCCGACACATGGCCCAGGCCAAGAGCGTATTATCTTCTTCTTTTGTTGGGTCAGATGCTATTCTCTAAAGGAAATTGTTCAGCAGCATTTTAGCCATGCTCCAAATAACATTTTCCAATGCCAGGGACTACCTGGGAGCGCTTCACCATTCTCCTTGTCGCTCTGCCTTCACTGCTCAGAGTGAATGTTCCAGATTGCTAAGGGTCAATGCCTTGCCCTTCACTACAGAGACTATTGTGCAGCTGAAAGTACCCTGTCACCACTAAATCAAGAGCCACACACAATGCAGGTGATAAAAAAGAAAGGTCTAAATGTTTCTTTAGGTCTACAGGGTTTTCTGTAGCTGGGTCAGAATCAGCAAACAGCAAAAAGGGCGAGTTCAGTTCAGTGAAAAAACAGCAAAGAAGCTTATTTGATGGTTCACAGGAGGAAAATTTGATGTTGCAACCTTCCCTTGTGGCAAGAGCAATAACTGTGTGTTTTTTCCCTTTGTCACTACATGGCTGTAATCCAGATGCACACAGTGTACCGCAACAGATACTCACCGTCATCGCTGTGTTTTCTCGACAGCTCCTGCCTACTGCTGTGAGCGACCACTTCCTCTGGAACCTTATCCAAGTCACTCGTCTGCAGAGGTCAGAGAGGGGAGACAAAACATACTGTCAGATAGATAGATAGATAGATAGATAGATAGATAGATAGATAGATACTTCAGTTTCTGAACCAACAACTAGTTAAAATGCATCCACTCTCCCAGTCTAACCCGCTATTTTGGAGAAGACTGTAGTGTAGCAAACATGCTGTGTCTAACTCTGCATTTGGAAACTATTATCATAACCCCTGTTGAGATCACATTGTCTCTGTGAGCCTCCACCGCCCATTCACTAACAGCTGCACAGGACAGGACAGGATGGCCTGAACCCAACAGCTTTCAGATGTCATCACGCGGAGACGCGTATCCAGGCTGCATATACAGTTTAGCTTACATTAAAAGTGATACGTTACGAAAAACAGATTTTCCTCTGCATGACACACAGAGGTGGAGAGGAGGCTTGAGAGTGTGGCTGTACAAAACAATCGGTCGGGTTCATCTTCAGAGCTGTAACATGAGCGTTTGCACGGACATCTCCCTCCATCACTGCTTGGTCCAGACTGCCTTTATTGGTAGTGTTTACAGCCCTGCAGTGGCAGTATCTATTTAGACCATCAGCTACAGTGTTTCTGTTGCAGTGGGACAAAACATAACAAGTATAATACATAAACTGAACTGTGATAACCTGTATGTACATTGGAGCTTAATGAAGAGCAGACCTGAGATAGGAAATAGGACAGATAAAGTTCCAGCGAGCAGTATTTTGTGTTGACAGGGTAAAAGCAAACACTATCCAACATAAAAATGATCCTTTTCTTACTGAGTTTCTGTGTGGAGACTCAGAGCCACTGGCCCTCTTGGCTTTTTGTGCAAGCGACGTCCCAAACCTCAAGGCCTCATACACAGGGTCCACCTTGTTGCCACAAGCTTTGGAAAAGAACAGGACATGAGAAAAGCTGATAGCAAACAAATGTTACGCTTGCAGGATAGCCATGTGGTGATTCACAATACTATAAAACCAGGTTGGCAAATCTTATAAAACAGCTCAAGTGGAAAAGAGGTTCTGGAGGAGCAGAGTGAAGTTTTCGCTTCCCACACACGAGTGCAATTCTTATGGAGATTTAAGCTGCTCACCGATGGGCATGACTTCTTTGATGCAGCCATACTGTTCCTGGATCAATAATGGAGAGCTGTAGTACCGCCGAAAGCCTTTTGGCTGAAAGACAGAGAGGGGGAAAAGAGAGAGAAGGGACACACACATTAGAGATAAATCAATGTGCAACACCACAGGCAACACAGCACCCGGACGCTGAAATACTGCACGAAACTCTGTTCAGTCGGATGTTTCTGAGCACAGCTGACAGAGATAAAGTTCTGCCACAGTGGATGTCGGACATCGCTGTTTGGATGAATTACAACAACTTGATTTCGCACTGCTGACAGCGTGGACAGGACAGTGTCTGATAAATACCTGAAACAGAACTCTAGTGTGCTGTGTATGAATGTGCACAGCCCTCATTTTCATGGCCGAGTGATCTGTATGAATGAAGAACAAGTACACAATGAGCGCTGGAGTGTTGACATACCCAAACATTATGCCAAAAAAAGCATTCCTCATCAATTGCACAATTTGATGGAAGAAAGGGAAAAACAGTTCTGAGTCATTAATTAATAATGAACTACATGAGTAACAATCCATTTGAATTTACGACTATAATTATAATAATGACTTTATCAAGGACACAGAGAAAGGTCCATAGCGTACTAAATAAAAACAGGCAATAGGCTGTGTACAAAAATAAATAAAAGTATAGATAAAATAATAAGAAATACATAACAATGCATCATGTAACTTTGTATAAAATATACAGAAATAAAGAAAGTAATTTTAATTAATATATCACAAACCTGTTTAGTAGTGATAGGGAACTGAAATAATATTTTTTTCACATTTGCAGGGTTCAGTTTAAAAGCACATTTTGTCATTTAATTGACAATTATGTGGCAATTTAAGGCCAATAAGTAATACGTCACTTCTAGGATGAGTCAATATTTACTGTATATAAACATGTCTTTTAGTTTTGATAGTGTGTCACATTTTTTTGTAATAACTATTAGAGGTTAAAATAAAATAATAATAATCACTTATTGAGTGAATGAAACATTTCACTAATTTAAAAATGGTACCTTTAAATAACTTCTAATAATTTTAAAAATAATATAATAAATATTATGCATCTTGCAGCAATGCAAATAATTCATACATTACCTATTATACCAGTGACATATTGATAAGCACTGAGCCACCTGCAGCCTGTAAACACATCTTGCAAAGTACGTCCTTCTTTCTTAACTCATTAAGATGTGAAGAGCTCAAACCTTAATTTTACCAGAACCCAGCATCTGGCGACATCAATCAGCACCGACAGAATCTGTTTATTAGGAGTGGTGGGAACTGTGTTCATAGCAACGTAATGGCAGCAATGTAATGAAAAACACACTGACTAACAGCCCCGAAAAGGCGTCAACATTGAAAAACAATGACAAGACTGGTACATAGCTCGAGAGTTAGAGAGGGTGGGGTAGAACACAGATGCTGAAGCGGCTGTTGTTGTTTACAAAATGTCGTCAGGCCCGGTCCACACTCGGCACAGCACTACCCCGCAGCTGAGGTGCAACATTAGTTCCACTCAATTTAAATAACTTTCAGCACATTATTATTCAAATGAAACTAGAATCACCGCCTCACGGTTGTGTGCCTCCGCCAACCAGTCAAGTTTCGGATTACATTCATGTCTGTCCAGACTCTTCATGTAGTGAGGACTCTGAAGGAATTTAATAAAAGGCATTAAGAGTTGTTGTTTTTTTTGGCAAAATGGAAATTATCACCATATTGACAGGTATGATTCCAGAGAATAACCTCCAGGGAGAAACATGCTGTCTTCACTTAGAGATTATTTTTTACAGAGGACTGATAGAAAGCTTCATCACATGGCACAACAGCAGTCACAGAAGCTCAATATTTGCAAACCCTGTGGAGTATCAGAGAACCAGGACAGAACACAAAGTTGTAGCAATGACAGCAGACAATGCTTCAAAGAGGGATGTTGCTGCAAAGAAGCTACAAATTCTAAAACGTGGATGCTTCGCACATGTCTTCAACCCGACAACTCAGAGGATCTATACAATCAGCACAGTTTCAACGTGGACACCAAAGATTAGTCTCACTAATTCGGTATCTGACCAAATGTCTCCCCTTCTGTCTCTTATGAGTTATGACATTGAATAATGGCTGGAAAAGTATTTTTTGGACGTCACAGTGAAGTTGACCTTTGACCTTTTAGAAATGAAATGTCATTACTTAAATTATATTATCTTAGTCGACATTTGTGTGAAAAGCTGTCATAGTTAGCGTATGAACTTTTTAAATTATGACTAAAATTGTGTTCTGTTGGTTGTTCACAGTCACAGTGACCTTTATCTTTGACCTCCAAATGTTTAAGTCTAACTTATACTTTTGCGGCTGTGCACTTGCTTTCAGCACAGGCTGGTACAGGCACCTCTCATGTTCGCCAAGCATATTGAATATAGTACTGAGACAGATTGTGCATAGCAACCAACGTCACACATGTATGTTGGGACATGCTTTTGAAGTTTGCATAACTTACCTCTATTGTAATTTCCCTCAGTTTCCCTGTGTTTTATGAGAGGTAGAATTAAAAGGCTGATATCTTCTCTCCCCTGCACTCCTGCTGCTTTTTGCTATCTTTTGTTACCATTCTTACAAATATGTCTCTCAGAGGCTTCCATTTTCGGGTACACTCTTCAACATTACTCTGCAGCTCTTTAGCAGTCTCTTTCCAAAAACTGTGACTTATATTTTCTTTTTTTATAATCTTTAAATGAAGGATCAAACAAGTGGCTCTATCTTCTAACTTGCGTCACTAGCTTTTCTTCAGACTGGTCCATGCTTGTTGTGTTTGTCGTTGTAACAGACCCAGCTCTGATGTCCAATCTAACTTCTGCGGCGTTTGCTATACCTGGCGTGTAGTCCCATTTTTTAGGAGACGTGCAGCAAGTCACTGCAGCATTCTGTGAGCCCTGCAAACCATCTCTGTGGCTCTGCAGAAGCTCTGTGCAAGCTTTTTTCACAGAAGTTTAAATCATAATTACCATAATTAGTTCATCCTTGTTACCGTGGGAAATTTGTGGCAAAATTAAAGAAATTCCCATGTGGCACTCCTGAGATATCGCATTGATGAGAATGGGACATATGGGAGGTGAAAGTGACCTTGACCTTTGACCATAAAAATCTAATCAGTTCATTCTTGAGTTCAAGTGGACATTTGTGCCAAAGTTGAAGAAATTCCCTCAAAGCGTTCCTGAGATATCACGCTCCCGGGAATGGGACAGTTGGACGGACAACCCGAAAACATCATGTCACCGGCCCACCAGCATAAATACATTAAACTATTAAAGACTACAGCTGTGGATCACCTTCATGAATACATAACTGTTTTGTTACAAACAGAGCTGAACATGTAGGAGACGAAAATGTGTCCGATGTCAGGTGGTCCGCAGCCATGAATCTGACCAGAAAAAACTGTCTTAAAGTCATGGTCTTGATTTATCTGGCCGTCATGTTCTCCACCCATCTCTCAAGGCCCTCAAACATTTATCATTTATATATCCATTACCTACCTGTGTCCTGTCCAATCAATACTTCCCTATCAGTTTCAAATCCTTCTTAAGTAAAGAAGAATGACAGAAGATTAAAATTCTCCTCAGACACAAAGTCAACTGCAGCACACTCAGTAATGATTAATGTATAGTTCCACGTTTTCAGCATTATTCCTCTGTTTTTAATTTCTGGAAGTCATCCTAGACAAACATTCATTCATTCATTTTCTTTACTGGATGTGAGAATCAGACTTGGAGGATTGCACTTTTTCCCCGTTTGTTTACATTTCATGTGTTCAAGTGGCAGGTGGTGAAATCTGCAACGCTAATCAGTCGTGAATAATTTCTTCATTTGACACTTCTCATGATGAGACGGCTAAAATAAGTAACCCTTGAGCTCTTCAGGCTTATTTCGAGAACTGAGATGTCAGACTTTCAGGGGCAAAATCATTAAGGAAAAGGTTAAAAGAGGACCACTTGTTGGGAGCCCATCTGGCTATAAACATAAGATGCGATTTGCTGTTGCTGTCTGAAACTTCATTTACTCCACTGACGTTGTGACAGCAGTGATTGTAGACATGGTTAGGTTTAGGGAGATCTGAGAAAAAGTCATGGAGGCCTTTATTATGTGTCTTAAATTCTGTTTCTATTGAACAAAAGCTATGAAGAGGACAAAACTCCACTGTTGCACACTAAGGAATGACATCTGCCTAAAACATCTGTGCATGAATAAATAATTAAATTAGAGAGCTGTCCTTTTCATGATTTTTGAATTTGAGGATTAGCAGCCATCCACACATACAAGAGTTCAGGATGTTTACTTATTTATGCATTTATTTAAACATTCCTATTCATCATGGTGATACAGGCTCAGATTGACATCACAAGTGTCTGACATGATGGAATGGATCCCTGCAGAGACAGACCTTTGTGTTAAAGAGCAAGTTCCTTTTTGTTTAACCAGAAACAGCCCTGATATCGCTAACGCCAAACCCACCAGACTCCATTTAAATAAACAGTAATTTTATCATCGTAAAACACACTTCATTCAAAGTCCACAGAAACAAAATAAAACTCACAGAAGCTGTTGTGGTTCATCTTTCCATTGTACCAACAATTGCCAACTCTGGTTTGGTTGTCCTCAACCAATCATTCACCATGTTAGACGTGAAAATTTACTGGCTCTATACAAACAAAAATAAAATGGAGTGAGATGACTTTGGCAATAGCGATTTGGGCGCTTTTTATAGTTAAACAAAAATGATAACCAAAAGGTCCATTTGCCATCATGTGGTCAGACACTTGTACAGACAATCTGAGCCAGTCAGTGGCAAAAATAACTACTTTTAATGGATGCAAACTGATGGTGGACAATTGCCCCGAGCGATTACACTGCAGCCTGTTTCGCCACTGGTCTCGCTCAATACTAGACCACTTTAAAAAATCGTTGTTCCCATTAGTCACTTAAACACAAAAACATGGGAAAATAGGCTCCACGTTAAAAAAAAACCCTGAAGTTATTCTTTTAGTAGCTAT